TGTGTGTGTGTGTGTGTGTGTGTGTGTGTGTGTGTGTGTGTGTGTGTGTGTGTGTGCGCGTGTGAGAGAGAGAAAGAGAAAGAGAGGGAGAGAGCGAGAAACACAATGAACACATTTTGATTCCTCATTTAACCATACTGCATGATGAAAAATTAGTTCTATTATTTTTGTAGGATGAATGCACCTCTGGGATTTTTAAAAGCAAGAGAAACATCCTTCTTAATACTCATACTTCAAGTATTTTCTGGCCAAACATTTGGGAAGAACGACATTCAACAAGATGTGCTAACCTTAAGTACAAAAAGATCTCTTCAAACCATTCTTTTTTTTTCTTGGAGCTACTATAAATCTAGATGAAAAAAGAACAACAATTGCAGTTGGTCATGACCACCCACTGTGCCCACAAGACCTTAACTTGTTTTCACCTAGACTAATCCAACTTTCCGCAAGCTAAAGCAGCTGTCACAATGTATACATATTTTGTTTAAATAAAACCAATAACTTTCTAAGGCGTGTCTGATCTACTAGAACTTGCACTACAGTATAGGAACAAAAAACGGACTATACCAGATCTGGCCAATGGTCTTTCTAACCTAGTACTACCTGAAAGCAGCTGATATGAGATGCTTGAGAAAGGCAGGTAAACTCCTACATGGACAGTAGTGCATAAAGGGAGATGGTTCGCAATGTGAGTTAGCACCTTGCCTATGTGTTAAAGTAGGAGATATATATCCCTTTTTAAAATGCCTATCCAACTTTACACGGTAGCTATTACCATATTTTATTGCATACAACACACACTGCTTTCCATAAACACCTGCTGCAGATGGTGGTATGCACGATAAGCAATAACATATGGTAACGGCAGTTTCTGCTGATTAAGCTTCTGCTAGCCGAAGCAAAAATAACTCTGCACTTGATCTATTTCTTTTCATTCTGCCTTTCAAAAACAAGGTACATACCTCATCATAGGGCAGGTTGTATGTGAAAAAATACAGGCTTTATACTATATAACAAGCATATAGACCTTTCCTCTTTTCCTTTATATTATACATCTCAACAAGCTCAGGTGCCCAAGTACAACCCTATTCTACCCTCTCAAGTCCCTGAAATGTGTGAATAGAAAAAGTGGATGTGTTTTCCTCCTTCTCCGGAAATTTTGTAACTGAGGTGGATGTGTTTTCCTCTTTCTCAGGAAATGTTGTAACTTATACCATGATGGCTTATTACAAAAGTAGATGCCTTGGCAGTTTTTCAGGGACATGTGTTAATAAGTTTGCAGCTAGGTGTATAAGTACACATAGGACATATCTACAAATGCAATTAGTCATGAGACAGCTCCCTCCTTGCCCACCCTGCCTCTCCACACTAGGGCTGCTCCAACCCCTGTTCCTGCAATTGCCTCTGCTGATCCAGCCCTGCCCCTGGCAGTGACAACCAGAACCCTGTAATCCTGCTGGCCCCAGCAGTGTCCCCCTGCCCAGGCTCCAGAACAGCTGCTCACCTTTCAGTGGGGACCAGCGCACTGGCTGTGGGAGGCCCTAGCTGACACCCTCCTCCTGCATTCCCTGCTCCAGTTCACCTGCCCTGCCGAGCCCCTCTGCATGCTGTTGGGGGGGAAACCAGGGCTGGGGGGAACACAGGTGAGCTGAGTGGGGAGGGGTGGCAGGGGCCAGAGCCAGGGGCAGGTGCAGGGATGGGGACTGGGAGGGCCCTCCCCACAGTGTGGAACTTACCATGTGTCTGGGACTGATGAAGTTGGTGGCTCAGTGCAGGCCTCTCCATCAGCAACAGCATCCATCTTCACCCCGTGTCCATGGCCCATGGGGTGTGGCTGGCTGGAACCCGGCCAGAGGCCCCCGCTGTGGGGAGGGTCTGGTGCTGCTGGCAGCTGGTGGTGTCTTAGGTGACTGCTCCTCATGGTGAGGTCTTTGGTGCAGAGCTGGTGAGAAAGCCACTTAACAGGGCTCCCCAAGTTGCTGGTGGGTGCAGCAGCCAGGAAGGTGGGTGGGGTGGGGCACTAAACAACTGGGGATCCCTCCTCTGGGCAGGTGACACCACTGGAAAGGTCAAGGTAGGACAGGGTTTGGGCAGTTCCAGGGCACCAAAATATTGGTCAGCTGCACATAAAGGGCATGGTCTTGCAGGCACGACTGGACCAACAATTGCAGTTGGTCATGACCACCCACTGTGCCCACAAGGCCTTAACCTTTATGTGGCACTGCCACACTGTCTGGGAGTGCCATCACTCCGACATGCCTCCTGACCGATCCTCATAAATATGGGTTTTTGAGCACCCACCCCACACAAACTGCCTCTAAACCTCCACATACCCCAAAGGCCATGAGGTCACCAATCTTCTCCTGGCTCCAGTTGGGGCCCCGGGTGGATGGACTGAGCATGCACACATCTGCAATGGGCAGGATGGGGAGGACATGCTGGTACATCCTGTGCCAGCTTTCTGGGCCCCTGCGGAGCTGTCCCTGTGTGGCTGGCCCTGGACAGCACTCAAGAGCACTCAGCAGAGGGGCCCAGCCAGGGACTGGGAGCTGTGCAGCAGAGACAAACGGACCACAGCACCTGAATAAAAAAGGGAGACACTATGGGGGGTGAGAAGCAGCAGGCAGCAAGAGGTTGCAGCACCTGCAGAAGTCTCAGGGCTGGGCAGGGTTGCAGCAGTCTGCAGCTCCTCACAACGCTCACCTGTGGACAAGCAGGAGCTCTGGCTAGGGGACAGGACTGGCAGATACAGCCTGGGTCCTGTCCAGAGGGGCACACAGGGCCTGCAGTGCTCCAGGGTACTGGTGTGTATGCCCAAGGGCACACAATGGCTGGAAACTTTTATAGCCTGCAGCTAGGAGCTTCCATAGAGCAGCCCAGCCCTGGGGCAGACGAGGTGACCTGTCAGGAGTCCTGGGGCTGAGTTCAGGCTGGCCCCCTAGTGCCTGGGCAGATCTGGCACTAAAGTTAGTGCCAGGTCACATCTATATGTGCATTACTGTGTTTTAATTAATTGTGCCTAAATTTGATATATATTTAGCAGGTATCAAATTTAGCCACGATTAGCCATTTTTATTGCACAGTAAATGTACTCACACATAGACATGCCCCTGTACTGCACAGTAAATTAGGCTAATGTGCATTAACATGTTTTGTGTAGACATGCCCATTTATGGCTAATTGGGAGACTAGGATCTAGTCCTATGGGGTTTTTTGCCTCAGAAATATTTTGTGGCTATTAAGTGTACAGTTGAATGTTTTGCTTTGTAAAATATATGTTCCTTTGAGCAGTTTTACAATTTTTGCCTTTCAATTACACTGAATAATTCCTCTGTTCTCACAACATGAAAGTGAAATGATATGAATAACTGATTTTTTGGGTCACTGTCACCTTCATCATGTGCAGCTGGGATGGCCTTGAGGAGGAAGCGGAGGCCTGCCCGCAATGGTGGCATTGGCCCCTACCCAGCCTCTCCTATTGTGGATGTGTCCTCATCACCAGCAACTTGGTGGCAGCGACCCTGTGGCACCCATGTGTCATACTCAACCCATCACAGGACCTACTCAAGAGGCTCCAGTGCCTCCTGATAGATGTTTTCTGGGATGGGTGCCACTGGCTCCAAAGAGCTGTCCTTTACCTACCTGTTACCAAGGAGGGCCAGATCCTGGTTGACCTGGTGATCATTCTGCTTGCAAGGATTTCAGGAACTCCTCTACAGTGAGAAGCACCTACCCTAGCAACATCTGGAGGGTGGGATTCCTGCAGAGGGTGGGGGCCCTCAACTTCGACTGGGAGCTCTTCCTGCTGAACCTCAAGCTCCTGAACTGGGTGGTCCTTCTGGGCTTATACTGTGGCATGGTACAAACCTGGCAGGCCACCTTCCACCTCTAGCCCCAGGCCTGGCACCTACAGTTCCCACAGCTGCTGAGGGAGCCCCTCATGCACAACTCAGACCTGTAGCGCCCTGTGCCAGTCCTGGCCTCCACCAGCCTCACGGCTGCCCTCATCCAGGTGTGTGTCCTCTGCCTGGGCCATCTCCTTGACCCTGTTAGGTTGGCCTGGCTCTCGCCTGAGGCCCTGACCACCCTAGGCATGCACTCTGTCCACAGCGTGGGCCATCTTTTGCATGACATCCAAGCTGCCCTCCCACCACAGGCAGCAGCCACCCTGGATGACCATCTCTGGGCATGCCAAGTCCCCCGTGTCATGGAAGCCCCGATTGAGGCCTTCCTCCCACTGCCAGTCACCCCAGCCATGGCCAGTGAGCTGGCTGGCGGGCCTGGCACCCTGATGATGCTCCTTGTGCATCCTGACAGTGACTCAGGTTGCCCCTTTGCTTCTCTGCCACTTAGAAGCCTGTATGCCTGGGTGGTTCACATCTGCCATGCCCAAGTGCTGGCAGGCCACCCTGATACACCATGGCAACAGTGCCTGGGGCTGCCAGATTCCCCACTGGCCCACCCAGCTTTGCACAGATTGTATAAGCAGCCAACCACCATGAAGACTGGCAACCTGCAGTGGCGGCTGCTGCATGGCACCCTAGTCACTGACACGTTTGCATCCCACTTTGGCCCAGCCACCTCACCAGCCTGCCCCTGGTGCCCCAGGGGCATTGAGGAGAGCCTCTTTCATGCTTTCCTTGACTGTCTTGACCTGCGGCCACTCTTTGGCCCCTCGAGCCACCACTCCAGGTGCTGGGCAGAAGCTTCTCAGAGAACACTTACGTGTGTTTCTACCTGTACTGGGCGTCCAAGCAGGGTGCTGTCTGCCTGGCCAACTTTCTACTGGGTCAGGCCAAGATGACTGTCCTCTAGAGTGGCCACAACTGGCTTGCTGGGATGATGTTCTGCGGCTTTTTGGCCTTCTGGTGCAGGCGCGCCTCTCACTGGAGTTTGAGTATGCTGTGCTCTGGCGCGTGGTACCCACCTTTGAGGAATGCTGAGCCTTTGAGGGAGCACTGTGCCACGTGGAAAATGGCCATCTTCAGTACATGCTCTGATGTCACGACTGGTCTGGGGAACTAGGCAGCTCGGTGGCGAACTGCGACTCCAAGCTCGCACCACACCCTGAGCTCTCACCAGGCTGCTTTTTTTTCTTTGTGTGAGAAGGTGAAGGTGTTGTCATGTGTATGATTGGATAGATCAGGGTAGGAATCATTTGTTTATGCAGGACTTTGGTCTGTACAACTGTGTGGCCAGTGTCCCAACCGCATAACGGCATGTTAGGCATGATGTGCAACACAGAGAAGATGTCTGTCACAGTGTGATGTTATGAATGTAATGACATGGTGCTCTTGGTTTGATAGTAATTTGTTTGTCTTTGCTTTCTATATTGGACCTGGACCCTGGAGGGGCCAACTTTTTGTACCCCAAACTCTGAATAAAGTAGTTAAAAAGTCAAAGTCCTTCCTTCTTTCCTTCCTTCCTTAGCAGCAAGAACTTGGGAAATGAAAATCTAGATTTGTAAAGAGCATTAAGGTATTCTGCACTGCCTTTTTTCTGGTAAGGTGGTTGGCTTTGTATAGTTATTAAATATCTATCAGGATCAAAACTAAACCCCAAGTATTACTCCAAACCACCAGGCTATACTCTTTTCTCTTGAGCAAAGTAGCTTCAATAGGAGTGTCATCTCATTATGTCCCATATCTCATTAGTAATGGCACTCTTTTAGAAAGTGGTAGAGCCAAGTTCAAGACCTTTCTTTGCAGCAAGCAAAGAGGGGATTTGAGTTCATTTTTCCTGCAAGTACCCAAAGCACCAGGGTATAGGAAGACACCACCTCTTTATTTGTTTAGTGGCACATAACTCCCCGACTGAATTTAGGCTGAAACATCAAAACATTTCATTTCCCAAGCGCCAAAATGAGGTAATTTGCAATTGCTAGGTTTTATTTGCTTGTTTCTTTCCCATTTTCTTTTGGCTGAAATATTTGCAAATAGTTTGTGTCACCCCAAAACTGCAATTTTCAGTGAACAAATGTTTCTCTAGAACAAAAAGTATCACTGAGTTCTATAATCAAGAACTCTAATAATAGTTTCCAACTTATTTCACTATATTGTTTGTTCTTTTATACTTCTGTCACAATTTCTGTTATGTACCTCCTCTAAACAAAACAAACTCCTGAATTAAGATTTTGACTTCAAGATACCTCAATCCTTGAAGAAGAGGTGGGGAAAGGCAGCAGGGAATTAATATTTAGCTGGCACTTAATTTGAATCACTGAGAATGCCACCAGATGTTCACATTCTAAGTTACAAGTGTTCACATGACCAAGGGTAAGTAAATTTTTTAAACTAGAAAATGGAATCACCTTTTTTACGGCCTTATTATCCCATCATGGGATAGAAATAAGTCTTACTGAAAACAAGGAGATTTAATAAGAAGCACATACCAATACAAAATATAAGTTTGGAAGAGACCTCCTGGGTCGTCAATCCAGGCCCCTGCTACAACGCACAGCTGGGTACACAATCCCCTCTATAAATTGATTAGACCAAATCTGAAAACAAGAGTTTTACTTCTACACCTCTTATTACAAGTCTCTGCCAGGATTTTACTCTTCAGATAGTTAGAAACCTCCTTCATATTTCCAACCTCATACATAGTGTAGTGTAGCATAGATTATAGATTATTTCCATCAGTTTCTGTGTCAGCATTGTCTGGTAATTTAAATAATTCTCTCCTCTGCCTGCTGCCTACCTCCCTGATGTATTTAAAAATGACAGTCAATCATTTCTCTTCTCAGCTTTCGTTTTCCTAAGATACATAAGCCAATTCTCCTCTCATGTTCAAATTCAATCAACCACATCAGTAATTCAGCTAAAATTCTTATACTAAAACCAAAGGTCAAGAGCTAAAATACAGTTACTTTAAGTAAAAGTTCTAAAATACTATAACAAATATTAACTATAGATTAGATGGCACTATTACATCACTTTTTAATGTTCATACCCACACAGAAGTTACAGTTGCCTACATTTGACCAGAATACAATTGAGCTAGAAAGGGAGAAACTCCAACTGTCTCCAGGTGGTTCGCTCCAGCAGATCCAACTCAGAATAGCAAAAAACGTGTTTCTTTTCCTATGTTTTAACTCCCTAGAATTTTCATTACATTTTATTTTTCTGAAATGTCTGTTTCCCAGAAAATGAGATCTAGCCCAAAGCTTCCATATATGCCTCTTAGGACTTTGTTATACATTACACTTCAAGTTTCTCAAATGTTGCTCAGTATAAGGGTTAGCTTTAGAGTACTTACATGTTCAGGTGAGCAAAGGCCTTCAAGACCAAAGGGTGAGAATTCCCCTGTACCCCACACACCAGGCTCCTCTATGCCCCTAAGGTTCCTCCCTGCCCCCCCATCCCTGGGGCTCCCCTCCCAAGTTCCCCCCAAGCTCCTTCCAACCCCAAGGCTCCCCTCTGCCCCTTGTGGTTCCCCCCTGTTCCCTCCACCTGCAGGGATCCTCCTCCACCCCATAGGCTCTACCTCCTTCTCCCGGCTGTCCCAGAGTCTCCCACCTGCCCCCTACTCCTCAGAGGTCACCTCCCCCATCTCCTCTGGCTTACTTGAGGCTGCTGGTGCTGTTCCAGACAGGGAAGCAGCAGGAAAGGGGAACCCACCTGCCCAGTCACCACTGCTGACACTGACACCAACCTGCAGCTGCTCTTTGGGATGAGCCCAGCCCAGAGAGTGGTGATGGCAGTCATGGTGGCGGCAGTAGTCGTGGTGGCAGTGGTGACCAAAAAGGCAGTTTCCCCTTCCTTGCCTGTTTCCTCGGGACAGCATCAGCAGCCACAGGTGAGCTGGGAGTTGGGGATTGAGGTATTGGGGTCACAGGGGATAGTAAACCTGATCCAGGAGTGGGGGGAGAGGGCAGCAGGCCAATCTAGGCTGGTGGGAGACAGGGGCAGGGGGGCAGTGGGCTGGTACAGGCTGGTGGGAGGTAGCAGGCCTGATCCAGGCCAGCGGGGGGTGGGGGGAGGTAGCCTGATCCAGGGGTGAAGGAGGGCAGTGGGCTCAGGCTCAGCTGGCAGAGGAGACTGGGCATGGGGAGTGGGGGGAACAGTGGGGTATATCCTAGAGTGGACACACATTAGTGTAATATGGGATGAGTAACATAGATTACAGGTAAACCTAGCTTGGAGAGGCATAACTTTAAAATGCCTAAAGGGATCCTAAAACTAGTTTCACATGTTAATGCGTAGACAATCTCAGTGTTAAGTGATCCCTGAGCTGCCTAAAATTGATGTGTAACAAAGCATATTTTTCCCCAGACACTTCCCTTTTTTCTCCCTTCGTCCATTTTAGTGGTTTTCAAAGACATGCTTTTTGACAAACCATTCTTCTTGCTCTTGCTATTGTCTACCACTTTCCTCCTACATTAACATACCTACACTAGCATCCTCCTGCTTGGTCTTATTCTTATCACCTTTTACCCTGCCAGTATTATTACTTTCACCATCAGTCTTTCCCCTTAAACCATGGATTCCTGGCAATTTGATCAATGGTTATATATAAGAATATATTTATATGTATTATCAAATAGTATATAAAATATTTTACATATTACAGCACAATTCCTAATTCTCATAAAATGCATTTGTCTTTTCCCCCATCACTCTGGTAGACTTGCGCTCTATGTGTTTCTATTTGAAGGTAGCTTTCTTGAACATATATGACCAGAATCAGACATAATATCTCAAATAAGGTGTCTCTAGTGCCTTGTACAATAGCATAGAATAAATATTACTCTATCTGGAAGTATCTCACCTGACTCACCCTAGGATCACATGTCAATATTTTGCCATCACATTGATTGCTCACAGTCATCTGTGATGAATCCATGCATACAGATCTTCCTCTGCCTGTTGTTTCCAACTGATGAGCTCCCAGTTTACAACATCAAATCTTTTTTATTATTCATATAGTTAATACTAAAGTCAATTAAAACTGAGCTTGGTGTCCTGTAGGATCTGGACAAAAGAAGGGAAAAAAGAGAGAAATCACAACACTATCTGAAAGACAACGCACGAGCACAAGAGAGTCACAGAAATTAGAAATAGGAAAGATTTAGGTCAGCTACTTTACCCTTTAGCCAGTACAGGATTGTCCCCTTTAGTATATGTTCTAGTGATTTTCCAGTTAAACTCTAAACACAAGTCATAAAATGTTACTGCAGGGCATAAAAATGGTCGACCCTAATATCCCAGTTCTCTTTTTATCCCACAGAACTGTTATGTAACCAAAAATATGTCCAACAGCTACAATGAACATGAGCAGTCTAAATAACGGATAAACTACTTTGATACTGACTTGTTCTAAAGATTAAAAAACCTTCTCTTCATAAAGGCAGATGGAAAACTCCACTGAGGGCCATAGTGGATGGCCACCTGCTGTTCTCTGAAAGCTGGGTGATAAACACCATGCAGCTGTAAAGCTTGTAGGTCAGGCTGTATCAAGCTCCTTTACTTCTTATCTTAACATATCCCTGACTTGCACTGTTTCAATTTACACCTACATAGATCATTAAATGCATGTTCCTAACTTTGCTGCTGATAGATATAATTCATTCTTTTCAGATTCCTATCAAATACTGTTTGTGACTATAAAGCTTTTTTCAGTGAAAAATGGATTTAATGAGCATCTTGCAAATTTCCCTGAAGAATGTTTAAATGGGAGTCAAGCCACTTTCGTTACTGTCAGAGAACTAGATATAATATTTCCTGGAAACACCAGTAGGCTGACATGCTTATTTGGCTTACAGGGTTATCTTTCTAGACTATAAAATAGATTATTATCTTGGTGCAATTTAATACCGTAAGTGCCCTACTCTTACTGACAGACTTCTATAACTCTGTCTCACATCAGTGGGAATTTTCTCCTTGCTAAAGAGTGACTAAAGAGCACTGAATAGGGCCCAAAGTTGGTAGCTGGTATTTCAAGAATTTTCCTTCTTCCTGAACAGTGTTGTACTAAATGTGCCATTTATTTTCACTACCTCTGAAACATAGATAGTTTGGCAGAAAATGTGTTCCAGTAAAACAGTGAAAGAACCTAATTTTCTTCTTCCTAAGTCTGCCATTGTCCACATGAAAAACTGCATCTCTGGGCACAGCCATAAAAGATAGGAGCTGTACCTGCCATGTTGCTCTCATATTTTGTATGGGAATGTGAAAATAAGGCATTTCCCTCACTAGAAAATGAAGCAATAAACACAAAATGCATGTGAAAAATTAAGGAATCAGAACTCATGGCAGAGGTGATATCTTTTATTAAACCAACTAG